TAAGAGCTCTCGGAACTTTACCTAAGCGTCAGCTTCATAAATAGAAAAGCACGCTATTCGTTTTTTCTTTCATAAGTTTAAGTTTTCTTTAATTTACTTTTCTTTGTACTGCTCTGTTGCCTCTTCCTCTTTGCCGCTGCCTTTAGTTTCTGAGCTGTTTTGAGAATCATCATCTCGTTTCGTTTCATTTCGAGCAACCTTGTTCACACCTGCTGCAATTTTTCAAGCAAAAGCAGGATGATAGTTGTCAGATTTGGGCAATCTGAATTATTGGCCCATCACTTCCTTTTCTCGGCCTCGTCCTCACTTCTCCCCGATCCGTTACGGCGGCTCCGATTGCATGCAACGGGTTGTGACTTCGTTTCACGGAACCATTGCACTGATTTTTTAAATTAGCCTTTTCCGCTCCCAAAATCATGTACCTGGAGATCCATGCGGCCCTATAATGCAACACTTTTAATTTGTCGAATTTTCTTCGTATTTTCTGAGTTTTGTCACTGGCGCCCAGTGAACCTACTGGTCTTGCAATATTTGCTTGTTGCAGTAATCCAGACACGCAGTGAAATCAGCGCGAACACTAATATCGATGGACAATGATGCTGCAAGTGCTAACATATCGCTTCCGGCCGATAAATCAACAGGCACCGTAAGAGTATGGTGTGATGGATGGTTTGTTTTTGTATCAATACAGTGGGGATCAACTTGTGCGGGAAACCGCATGCAAGTAAATGCCAACTAACCTCATTTCTGGAGGCATCCTCCTCTCCACCACGCATTACATTATATATATAATATATATTTTAATAATAACCAGAAGGACAGTACTCAGGCGTCTCATATGTAAGGTGATATTTTACGATGCAGTCTCTCTCTGTGTGTGTTTCATCCCTTAGCTGTAAACACAGACCGAACTATGCATGCGGATAGGAGTGGGAATCGTCAGTAGAGCAGCCTCATACCCGGCATGGTTTGAAAGGACATGTAACTAATTTGCACGAAGGATATGTGAAAGAAAAAGAGAAGGAAAATACAGTAGCGTGAAAGTAATAGGAGTGATGGAGCGGATGGGAGGGGAGGGGACTAACATATGATATGAGTAGTAATTGTATGTAGTTATGAGGAGGCAACTTTCATGAGAATAACTTACTAACTAGGTGTTTAATTCCTGCATCATTGGAGTAGATGAATTTGCTCAGTACTGATCGGTTGCTGTCCCAGTCCACAGAAGCGAAGAAGAAAATGTGATACTACAGCAACAGTACTCTTCCACAAAAAGGAAAAGAAACAAATTTATGGAACGGGAAAAATACTTCTCGAAGCCTGTTTTCCTGCTTTTTTCTTTACAGTGCGAGGAAAAATAGAAATCCAAAAAAAAAAAATGCTTGTGCGAAACAAGTACCTTCGAACATGGTCGTATCAGAACTTGACGCTTTCCACGTTTCTCGGCATTATTTATCGTTTTTAGCGCATCTGCTAGGACACTAATTCGAACCATTTCTCAAAACGATGCCACTCTCTCGCTTCCTTGTTGTACCAAAATCTGAAAATCTACACAGGCCGATTGTAGCATCCAGGCTGACCTTGGATGTCAAATTGTGGAAGGCGTATAAGATACAGAGCAAGAAAAAAGAATACAGAAAAGTACAGAAGGAATGAGAGATAAGACGTTTCGGTCCATTAAGCCATAAACAAAGAGCCAAAAAATCTTAATTTTAGCTAAAAACTATCATTCCTTTTTAATATGCTAATATGCTTCATTGCTTAACCGTTCCCAAATACCGTAAGCTAACAGCTGCTGGCGGAATAGCGTTCAGTTATCCTTTAGTTTACTTCAGACCATGATACTAACGAGGTCCAGTCGCGGTGTTGAGCTAAGACGTATATGACTTAATGGAAAGAAACGTTTCAACTCCTTCGTAGTTATTTTCCTAAACCAGCTATATTTCTACATCCATCAATACATAGTTCGTTCTATTCTTGCCCTATTCAAGTTCTTAATATTACCTGTATGCTACGACCATGCTACAACCAGCTTAGCTTTAGACCTGGTTTTTTTGCAGCACTGAAGTCCCCCCCCCCCCTCCCCCTTCCCTGTGTTCTCCCTTCCGCTTCACCTGTGATTCATAGAGATGTAGTGGAAGCTCCAGGTGCTTGAAGCGGACGGAGCATGTCACGATTCGAAGGATCCGGAGACCGTAAAGATGAAGCGATCGATCCCCTATTTTTACAAAATCGAGCTCCGGTTCTTGCGATACCCGCGACACAACGGCGTTTCTCTCCGGGCCGCCATTATGCATCTTCTAATGCAATAGGTACAGGCTGTTACAACATTATACACCATGAACACATTGTTCAAGCGGTAATTTTTCTTCTCAGAAAAATCCTGTGCTTCCACTGGTAAGCGATCCAGTACGGGTAGTGAGCGATCCAGCTTCGCCGGATTTTACTTTCTCGTGGATACCACTCACACTGATACGCATCCCTCCATCCCTACCGGCCTGCTTTTGCTTCCATGCGTGTTAGTAATGATATCCTGCACGTTGTTCATCTGACGAAGAGTGTGTGGACTACTGTTCACTTATATATGGCGGCGGTGGGGGGAGATACGCTCAGACATCCTTCGCGCTCCCCATTCGTTCTCTCTGTTGCAGCCAGCGCTCGCTCTTCAACTTTCGTCAGTGACAACGGAACGCATAACGTACCTCCTTATCGCTTTCAACAATACCCAAGCATATTTCCAAAACCCTTCACTTTTCCACCCACACTAAGAATGCCCCCCCCCGCGCCCCCTCTCAACATCCCACTCTATCACACCCTAACCCACAGGCGAA